TAGTTGGAGTGGCGGTAGTAGTGGTAGTTGGAGTGGTGGTAGTAGTGGTAGTTGGAGTGGTGGTGGTAATGGTCGTTGGAGTGGTGGTAGTGGTAGTTGGAGTAGTGGTAGTGGTGGTATTAGTTGGAATGGTAGTAGTGATAGTAGTGTTGATAGCGATTGGTGTGGTGATAGTGGTTAGAGTGATGGTAGTAGTTGGAGTGGTGGTAGTGGTTGGAGTGGTGATGGAACCTGGAGTAGTGGTGTTCGTTGTTGGAGTAGTGGTACTGGTACTGATATTTATTGGAATGGTGGTGGAAGTGGTTGTAGGAGTGGTAATGGTTGTGATTGTTGGGGTAGTGGTGGTTGGAGTAGAAATGCTAGTTGATATGACTGCAGTGGTGGGGGTTGTTGGAGCGGTGATTGACGAGGTAGTGGGTGTAGTGATGAGGGGAATAGTGGGTGGAGTGCTGGGTGGAGTGGTGGTGGATGGTGTGGTGATTGTTGGAATCGTTGTTATTACAGTGGTAGTGGTTACTGGAGTGATTGCGGTTGTTGGAGTAGTATTGACGGTTAATGTGACCGGGGTGGTGGTGGTTGGACCTGTGGTTAGCTTGGTGGTGAGTGGAATAGTGGTAGGAGGAATGATGTACTTTGGATTTGTGATGGGTGGAATGGTGGTGGTTGGAGAGGTGATGGTAATTGTTGGATTGGTGGTTAGTGGGGTAGTGGTAGTAACGGTAGTTGAAGTCGTGGGTGTCGGAGTGGTGCTGATGGTTGTTGGTGTAGTTGTGGTTTTTGATTGGACTGGAATGGTAGTTGTTTGATAAGTGGTTGGCATGATGGTGGGGGGAATGGTGGTAGTTATGCCGTTGGTTGGGGTGGTGGTGGTTGGATTTGTCGTGTTTAGAGTAGTGATAGTTTTTGGAGTAGTGATGTCGGGAGTTGTTGGAGTAGTAGTGTCAGGAGTGGTGGAGGAAGTTGATTGTGCTCGGAGGTTTATGGCGCTCGGAGAGGTGGTGGTTGGTGTGGTAGTGAGTGGAATGTGAGTGGGAGGAATGGTTGTGTGAGGAATAGTGGTGGGAGGAATGGTGATGGGTGAAATGGTGGTGGTTGGTGCGGTGGTGGGGATTGTTGAACTGGTGGTGGTGGTTGTTGGAATGGTGGTGGTGGTTGTTGGAGTGGTGATGGTTGTTGGAGTGATGATGGTTGTTGTCGAAGTGGTGGTGGTAGTTGGAATGGTGGAGGGTGGAGTAGTGTCGATGGAGTTAATAGTTGGTGTAGTGGTGATGGTTGTTGGTATATTATTGGTGGTTGATGTGACTGTAGTGGTCGTGGTGGTTTGAATAGTGTTTGAAGTGGTTGAGGATGAAATGATGGTGGAAGGAATAGAGATGTGTTGAATGGTAGTGGTTGGAGACTTGGTTATTGTGGAGATGGCTGGTGGAATGATGGCGATTGGAATGTTAGTGGGGGGAATGGTGGTCATTGGCATAGTGGTGGTGGGTGGAAAAGTGAGTGGTGGATTGGTACTGATTGAAATGTTGGTTGGTGGAGTGCTGGTAGGTGGAGTGGTGGTGGTAGGATTGTTAATGTTAGAAGTGATTGTTGGTGTTGTAATATTTGTTGGTATAGTAGTGGCGGATGATGTAACTAGAGTGGTCGTGGTGGTTGGAATAGTGCTTGGCAGGGTGGTGGGTGGGATGATGGTGGGAGGAATGATGGTGGGAGTAATCGAGATGGGTGGAATGGAGGTGATTGGAGACGTAGAGGTGATGTTGGTAGATGTGGAGGTGGGTGATGGAATGGTGGTGATTGGAATGTTCGTGGGAGGAATGGTAGTCATTGGCGTAGTGGTAGGCGGAAAAGTGGTGGGTGGAATGGTGGTGGGTGGAGGGTTGATAGAAAGAGTGGTAGTGATAGAAGTGGAGTTTGTGGATGTGATTATTGCTGGGGTGGTGATGGTTGTTGGACTAGTAATGGTGGTTGATATGACTGGGGTGGTGGTGGTTGGATTCGTGATTGGAATGTTAGTGGGTGGTATGCTGGTAGTTGGAGTGTTGGTAGTCGGAGTGAAAATATTTAGCGTATTGGTTATTGAAGTTGTTTTGAGAATTGTTGTGGCATCGTTGGTCGTGGGTGCGATAGTGGTGGGAGATTTCTTGTTAGAGGGTTTGGTGGTGATCACATGTGTGTCCGTGAGAGGACTGGTCGTGACAGACGTAGTTGCGTCATCGGTGGTCATTAAAATTGTGGTCGTGGGAATCGTCATTGGAGACATTGTCGAGGGGCTGGCGATTTTTGCTGTGCTGATCGACGGTATGGTTGTGTGTGTGACAGATGGCGAAGTATCTGTGGAAGCTGTATTTGCTGGAATGGTGGCAGTGATTTCTGAATCATAGTCATTTAAAGGACTATCAGTATTTGGAATATTTTCATTTCTGAATCCGTTATCGGAAGTAGCAGAATAGGTAATGGAGGAATCACTGGCGGTCGTGACAGTTTCAAAGTTAGTCAAAGTTCTGTCAGAATCACTGATAGTAGTTTCTGGATGGATAGATATCTCCGACGCAACGGTTGTGTCGAAGCCAGCAATTACTTCAGATCCTAGTGTAGTAGAAAGACCATAGCTCTTGTCGCCAGAGTGAATTGAGGTTGCTGAAATGGCACTGACATAATCTTTGTCGTTGGGGGAATTGGCATTTATTTCACTATGGACATTTACATTAGTAATCACAGTTGTTTGATCTTCACTCACATCATTATTATATATTCCTGTGTTGAATGCTTTGGTCTCTGCATACAAGGGAGTGATAGTAGAATCAGAGATCCCGAAAATTGTACCATCTCGCTCAGAGAGTTCAATATTATTAATTGTAGTTGTCAGTAAATCAATAATTGTGGAATCTTTTGCATTTTTCGTAGTCGCCTCAACAGCAGTAGAGGAATTGAAAGTCGTAGTATTTCCGTCTTTCTGGGCAATATCAGAAACAGCTTCAACATTCATGGAAGATGAGTTATGATATACATTGTTGATATTATCTGTAGTTGTAATTTCTATAATTCCTACGTTAACGAAAGGCTCTGTTACTGGTGTTCCTCTCTCGTTAGTTACTGCATTGGGAGCTGTTCCTATACTATCGCTATCAGCAGTAGTCGTGTCTTCAGCAACAGCAATGTTAGTTGTGGGAGTATAAACAATGTCATTAACCTCAGTTTCATCCTTTACAGGCATGTTGGTGTTGTCACTGATGACAGTGGTTAAATTGTTGATACTATTAGAAATAAGGGGATCATTTGTGGCGACGTCTTCATATATAGTAGTGACAATGGTAGTACGTGTGGTAGAGTCTGGTATTGCAGCGTTCTCTGCGGTTTTGGTAACATCTTGATCTTCTATATTCACAGAAACCTCACTGCTCTCAGTTATTGAAGTAATAGTGGCAACAACTGAATCCATAGTGTTAGAATTGTACTCCTTGTTTACGCGACCATCACTTAATATATCTTCGTTGTTGAAAGCGATAGTTGTGGTCTGCGTTTCCTCTAGTGTTGCATGGGTGACTGAATCAATTTCATCTATATCAGTACTGTATTCAGTATTAAATCTTGCATCGTCGATAAATGTGTCATTGTCTACAGATGTTTCGGGAGCACTCTCAGTAACTGACTGCTCTTTAATTACTTGGTTCACTCCAAAGTTGACGTCGATGCTTGAAGTTATATCTGTAGTTGTAGAAACTTCTGTAATATCTAAAGTGATAGAGTTGTCGGTACCCACGATGACATTTTGACTGGTAATTTGTGTGGAAGCGACTTCAGCACCTTCTGTAACATTCGTATCTTTCAAATAATCAATGGTTGTCTGTGTTTTGCCTGTATATACTTTATTGCTGACGTTACTGACAGTGTCGATGTCAGCATAAGTAGATGTGTCAATGGAGTAATCTGTTGTGGCGTCCATCAAGTTCATTGCGACTGCAACGGTTGACACATCTGGTGTATTACCGAATCTCTCAGAATCAAATTTCACTACACTGTCGTCATTCAATTCGGCCGTTGATTCAGCTATACTGATGCCTTCTTCATCGTTCATTTTTGTGGCAGAAAACGTACTGTCAACAATATTTCCAATACTGATATCAATAATGGAGTTTGTTGTACTATCTAATGCAATTTCGTTATGACTTATGGCTATTAATTCAACGTCACCTATACCTATCGTTTCTTGAACTGTACCTTCCGGCAACGTATTTGCTATGTAGGTAGATTTGTCTGTTGCAGAGGGAGTAATGGTATCTGTGGCACGGAAGTTATCCGCGGCAATCGTTGTAGTAATGTCAGAGCGATCTGTGGCTTCAGAGACATTGTTAATGTTTTTGTCAACACTCCAGTCGTCGACGTCCATTAAGATCTCAGTAACTGCTCGATAATTACTTGTTGTAAATTCTTGATCAGAGGGATCGGTAATGGGATGCTTTCTAACGTTAGTGGGGAATTCGCTATCAGTGGCCGTATTATAATCGGCGCTGCTAATGGTGACGCTCGGCATATCGGTTATGATTTCAGCATTTTTGTCCGTAATTTCGTTGTATTTGGCACTATAGTCACCTCGTGAATTATCGTTGGTATTTCTGTCAATAAGAAAATCGTCATCAGTCGTATCGGAGATATATTCTTCGTGCGTGATATCCATAATGTGAACGTCAGAGTCACTAATGCCAGTAGTGATACCATCGGTAAAAATATCACTGTTAATGTCAGTGGAACTGGAAATTTCAGTGATAAATTTACCGTCGTTCAGGATATTCAGTTCAGGGCTTTCAGTTCTTGAGACTATATCCTTGGTAGTTTCTGTTATAGTGTCTAGTGTTGTGGTATCAGCAGCCCTCTCGACAGGAACATCGATGGTAGTGGTATCAATTTCAGTTGAAGATTCCGTAGAATTGTCAAATTCATTGTATGGAATTGAGCAGTTCGCTTTCTCCGGTATCATGCATCTCCTTTGTTGCGAATTAAATTCACTTCCTCTCGGACATTCGAATACACGCTTAATAAGTGTGTTACGAAATGGCATGCACACATAGAAAACAGAACAGTTCCCCGATGATGAGGGGAATTTGCCTGCACTTTCACATACATCTTGCACTGGACTAGTTTTGTTCACCGTACTATCATTTACTTCCTGGTACGTCTCATTTTGGTGAAACGTATCGAATGTAACACATTTCTGTGACGCCGCACTGAATACACTCCCAGGAGGGCAAGCGTATGTGAATATTGCGTACCGGTCTCCAGAGTACACACAACAGTAAAAGAGAGAGTCATTACCACTTGGGTGCGCAAATCTTCCTTTTTCAGTGCACTGGAGACCGTTTTGAGTCTCGTTCTCACTTTCCCCAGTTCCTTGAATCGTCGTTGGTATGATAATGTCAGTTTGCGTAGCTTCGATAGCTCCACTGGCGTTATTTCCGTTAACACTGTAGTCTTCACTTGTAGTAGAAACCAGGTTTTCGTATTGTTTCGTCTCCAAAAATTCTTCTCTTTCGGAGTCCCTTCTCTCAAAATCATCTGAAGTATCATTTGCAAGTAGCGAATCATCTAAAACGTGTTCTACGGTCAGAGATACGTTCTTGGTTGGTTCATTTTCTAAAAAATCTTCACTTTGCACTTGAGAGGAAGATATTCCATTCGACATATTATTAGTAATATAAACAGTCTTGTTTTCTGTAATTGTACCAGTAATTATCTCTAGCAAGGTTGGTGTCGTTTCTAAATTGCCATTGCCTACGTTGGAAGAAGTGATTTCTAAGCTCGTAGGTATTTCTGTATTGCTATAGCCCGTTAGAGAAGTGTTAGTTGTGGTAATAATGTTCCGTTCACTATCGTTAATCACAGAAGAGATGGAAGAAGTTATGTTTTCAAGCACATCTTTCATGCCACCGGTATTGTTTTTAGCATCATTATCGCTAAATATATTTTCATTGTTTATTTTATTTTTCTCGACATTGTTTTCCGTTTTACTTTCAAAAGATGCATCGGTGTTTACTTCTGAAGATATATTAATCTGGCTTGATATTTCAACGGCATTGCCGGTGGTGGTTTCACCATTGTTAATTACTGACTCCGTAATTTCATCCATCGATTTTGAAACATTACTATCAATAGTACTGCTATTTAAAATATACGGCTCTGTTGTGAGATGCATTTCCATTAAAGTATTATATTCTGTTGTGGATTCATTTTCCGAATTGGAATTACTTTGAAAATCTTCCGGAGTATCTGTAGAGTTAATTACCCCATTGTAATGAGGAGTTGTTTTCATCGAATTTTGTGAATAATTTACAATTTTCGATGTTTCGTCGTATTTGTTTAATTCAACTCCTTGTGATATTTCTGTCATTATTGTTTCGGTAGTTTTTGCATTCAACGTAAATTGATCGTAAGAATTTTCCGAAGTCGAGATGATTACTTCAGGTTTTGACGTTTTTTCTCCATTGGTTAAGTTTTCAACATTATTATCTATGTCTCTTTTCTCACTGGCAGAATCACCTTTTGATAACGTGTCTTTGTCGAGAATAGGATAATCACATATAGATGGGGATGACTCATTACACACTGTTCCACCATGACATATGTCTATTTGTCCCGTTGTATGAAGAGCACCATTGGAATCGACGACACATGACTGAAAGTGAGTGTCATTAAGGCAAACATGCCCCATTGACCCGCAAGGTTTCGTCACTGGTTCTGCACAAACTGCTGGATGGTTTGAGGAGCACAGCTTGTTTGTCGGGCAGCGCTCAATGATACCTGTGGGCACATCGTTTTCACACGTCTTATAATGTGTAGAATTGAGACATTTATATCCAAACTCGTTGCAAGGCTTTTTGCGCCCATTTGTCAGCAAAGTTTCCGCTAAAGGGGGCGTCTCTACGCAGATAACAGGTACATTCTCACGACATTGCATGTAAGGTCCGCAGCTCTCCACATTGCCCATTCGCAGCATGGTCCCCACCGACGTTTCCACGCAAAACTGGAAGTGCGTAGCGTTGAGACACACGTGATCATTAGTTCCGCAGTTGGTATCGGCGCTTTGACACCGTTCAGGGATGTTGTCCGCACACAATCCAGCTCGAGGACACACTTGAGGTATTCCATTTCCAGGCCTGCTGCTCCCACCGACCCCAGTGGGTGCTTTACAGTTTACGTAATGAGTGGCGTTGTAGCAATAGTAGCCGTAAGAGTTGCAAGTGGGTGAGGCTGTCGCCGATCGCCACAGAAAAACAATCTGCAACACAAAAAGTAGTATTAATACATGTGAATGGTACTTTACAGCGCGAAATTATTGACAAAATGTGAAGGAAATGGTATTTATATGAGTTAACTTTTAGGATTAGTACCTCACATTATGAGGACGGAAAGTGTTACATTATGAGTGAGATGTTTCCGTTCGAGTCCACGAAGGAACCAACGACGGAATTCCGAAACGTGTTCGTAACATTTCCGTCCATGTGTCGTCACACGTTTTATTCGATACATACTATCTGTTATTTGCATTTGCATGAGATTTTAAATTTCATTCAGAATGTTAAAATAATAATTGTGTCGTTGGTGATGGCCATGTACTGAACAACAAAGGCCTTCGTATCAACCTTTAAAGTTTGTAAGTTGGTATGAGAATTCACTACGGTATAGTATATACAATGAATTGCGTTCCACATTTAGAGCTGCACTAAAGTAGGTGAACAACTGAAATGAAATGTATAAAGAAAACAATTAAAGCTGTATTTTCACACATTAGGACACATTTTAAAACGCAGGTAACTTATATCTTTAATTTCCGATGCAAACAGAAACTTACAGAAAAATATGCCGCCTTCGGTCATTTGAGAGGTGTCTATGCATAAATACCCAGGTACTTGGTGAAAATACAAACTTTGGGCAACAGTTTCGATGTTGACTGAAAAATGAAAATATTTGTAAATGCAGCCCATTCTCCTATTGTGCGCCTACCAACTGAATACTTATATTCAATGCGTCACAGTTGACTACACAGCTGACGTCATGCGACAGCAAGGCTTGAAGGAAGAGGTCGCCCGCCAATGCACAATTCCAATCTACGTGTTGCGTTAAAGAACACCAACTTTTGGTATGTAAGAACTGCTGTACTCTAATAATATATAATACATTAAGTAGTAATCGTGAAAATTGTTTCAGTTACAATATTTAATTAATTGCAATGTTAAATGAGAGTATTTTATTTATTTTCCTTGAGCAATAAGCATGTTGGTTTTTGAAAATCCATTTTGTCTTGTAGCGTTGAGAAGCATTTTTGCAGCTGCGGACGTCAAGAAAAAATTAAATATTTGCTTTCTATTCTCAGTTTTAAACCAGTATGACCTATGGATTCAATCTATTTGTAGAATGTCCAAGGGTAAGAAAATGTATTAGATATTAATGAAAGGCAAGCAAAATTATTAGAGATGTGTAGTTTTGTACTGTAATCTGTGGATGAGGTAAGGCCTTCATTGGACCTAAATCTGAAACATTTACACATCTTTTTTTTAGCGAAAAGAAGTTTCAGTACATTTTCCCTAGATATAGTAGATCCAGCTTCCTTTTTTCTACTTTTTTCATTTCTATAATTTTTTTCAAATTGGATAGATGGCAAATTGGTAGTAAGACCACAGTTCAAAATTACATTAGCCTAATGCAGACAATTATGGGTTTAGGTTTTACTCACTAATTTCGAAAGAGTTTCATTTTGAGAACAAGATTCTCAGTAGCAAGTGAGTGAAAAATAGATGCATATCGTTTTTGCCAAGTCGAGCAATTTACACTGCTCAATATTTTCCGCATTATCAAATACAATTCTCGAACATGATTGTTTTGGCACAAGTTTAATATCATCACCAGTAAACTTTGCAAAAAGTAGAATAAAATGTCGCACTTCACTCCGTAAGATTCTTAATTGCTTTTTGGTACTTTCTCCAGACGTAATGTGTGTTAACGTTCTTGACCAGTCATTTTTTACTTCCTCGCACTTACTAACGTAAGAAGAGAAAGTGTTGTAATCGTGCGACGGAAAACGGCGAATTTTCGACACAAAAACTCTAATTTCCAGACCCTGGTAACGTAAAAGTGGATACAGTTGATAAATTTAGAAACAACCCTCTAACACGTGGTGCAGACAGACTCCTTGTTTCGTGCGTTTTTCATACCGAAAAATCGATTTACGGCAAAACGTCTGTCCGTCCACCAGTCTGTCTGTGTACAATGCTAGCGCATAAACCGTTCAACCGAGTTTCTCCAAAACTGATATTCCCCAATCGTTCTGGCTGATGCCGCAGCCCCTCGATTATGAAACCGATAGTTTAATTCTGGGGGGTACTTTACATGAACATTCTGGAGGGACAGCTAGGCAAAGTCTGTTGTACAAAATTAGCTCTTTAAATTAGCTCATGTACAATATTTTGTAAAAGTAAGTAGTTTTTGCGTAATTTCTGTTTGAAATTGATGAAGCATTATGTGCGTCCCGTCGTACATAACGATAACATTACAATATTGCGACAAAGTATGTGCTGTTGTAGCTCGAGTAGTTCTGATATTGAAAAAAAAATGATCTGAAAATTCAAGGTGTCTAAAGATAATTGGTAATGAGGAGAACAAAAACAAATTACTTCATAATCAATACCACCAAATGTTTTAACTAACCTCTCGGACCATCATGTAACCAAAATTTGACTCTGTACAAAAATAATTAACAGAATGCCACCCGTATTCTTCTTTAACACCCAAGTCATTACCTTTTCGAGTAAATTGATCATACATTGCACTTCGGAGAGATTTCTTTGTGCTACATCTTTATGATATCGGCTTCTTTATGCTTTGTAGTACTAACGTTGCAGTACTAATTGTAATTTAATTGAAACGTAGCAAATTCAAAACTGTTGGCGATAAAATGATAAATGGAGTTCAAAATGTTAGCAACCCGAGACACTTCTAAATGCAATATATTCGGTGGAATAAACGTTATCTGATCACTTGTGATCCTTTCAGGGACCTTTCAGGCGGTAGGGTAATCTGTGACGCGAGATCGCCCGAAGACCCGCCCGAAACGGGACGCATCAAATCACTACGAAAATCATAAACAAAATTATATTATTATAAAATTTCCGTTGAAATTAAGAATTTTATTCAATAAAACTAAATTATATGATATGTAAATACATATCCAGGTGATTTGACTAGAATCATAATGTCATCATGCCTTCTTTATCTGCCCCACCTATTTACCCCATTGTTTTGGAAATATTGCCTCTTATTCCACGAAAAGTTTCGGGACACTAACTCCGGTAGGTTCGGTGGTATAACGGCTAGCGTATTAGGATGTGATATCCAAGTTTGCGGGTTGAAACCCGGTCGAAGCCCGGGCGAAGAGCGAAAATCCATCGTACACCTTCCTTCGGAGGGGAAGTAATGCCGGTTGTCCCCTGTAGTATATTTACTGCACGTAAAAGAACCTCAAGCCTAAACGATGCCTCAACGCTAAATTCAAAATCGCCTGTTTCGTCGCCTGAGATAATACCTCCTTTCTCCGCTATTTGGAGAAAAGATCATAGCGAAATTTGCGTGATTAGACGGAAGAGCGAACCTGATGGCCCGAGTCTCGCCACGTAAAATGAGGCATTAACTAAATAAACTATTTTCGAAAATTGTAAAACTCCTGTTTTTAATATATCTTTCAAGAACACGCTTCATTAAGGAGAATATGCCCCTCATCAATATTGTAGTTGTGTGAAGGTGCCGAAAAAATTTTGAACTTTTGCAATTTCCGAATATTTAGAGTTTAAAGAAAACAAAACCTGCGCCATTTTTTTAACGTAATTTGCTCTGTTGGTGGAAAAGGTTTGATCAAAAAATTTGGAACCATTTTTGAGAAAATTTTGAACATTTTGTTAAGGTTTCATGTAAGAATCAAAATAATCAGTATCTCCCATAATCAAAATTCCTAGAGCCTCGAATTTGTCAGAATCGATCAGGGAATATCTATTTTGGGAAAAACTTGTGTGAATTTTCTAGACACTAGCGCTTTAGGCTTTAGGTGCTAGGGTTTAGAAAGGTTCTAATAATGGAAGTCCTAACATATGAAACAATAACTCCTTACCTAAACAAAGATATTGAAAAAAACACAGGAGTTCGTAGTTAACACCCCTTCCGTCATTCGTATGCGGCTGTTAAGATTTAGATTTATTTTTGTAAAAATACAGTAAAAACTGTACGTGATGAACGAGGGAGAATATCCAATAAGTGGCTCTATAACTCCAATGAATTAACCACATACAGGGGTTAAGTAAACATTTTCCCCAACTCTGTTTCTACATCCCACGAAAGCGTTTCTTGGAGTTAGAAAATTATTAATTTTATTACTGCCCCTTACACACGGCACAATTGTATTATGTAATTAACTTTGGCCAACAATAAAGGCAAAATTTAAAAAATAAAAAATAGCGGGGCCATTATAAATTTCTAAGATCAGTATAAAAATAGCATTTATAAGCATTGGCTTTTTGAGAGATAATTAGCCGGACGAGCCATATATTATTTATTAATTTGTAAAAGAAAGAAAAAAGAGGATCTCAAAACATCGCCAGTCTTGTTTTGTGACGGAAAAACTTGTCTTAATGACGTGATAACACGTTACGAATAGTGTTATCTTTACCTAGTGATATCTATATTTTTCGTTATAATTTAAATATATAATATCTTTTTGTTTGCCAAAGGTAATTTGGGGGGGAGGAAGTGAAATACTTTTTATAAAACGATATTAACGTATTTGTTTAAGGAGAAGTAGTTCATAAATAACCATTAGCGAAAGTAGTGTTTTTCGTGAAAAGTGTGAATTTGATGCTGTCATACCCGCAGATCACAAAATTGGAGTTGTTTATGAGGCAATGTATTTTGTGTACATATTTTTTGAATGCTATTTCAATCATAACTTCAATAGATCGACTTTTAAGTCTCATAAATTGTATTATTTCCAAGTTAGAAATGTTGAAGTTCCTTGGTTCTTGTCTGTTTCTTACAAAGGTTTGACTTACATTACGGTTGCTCACAAACAGTTGAGAGTCGAATGGCCTTTGTTCTTACAGACATGCCTTTCGTTCGTGCCACGACTTGGATAGGGCGATATATAGGGCATACGTGTGAATATATTATACATTTATTTATTAATTTATCACATAACATTGTTCATGAAGTGTCGAATATAAATTTAGGTTTTGAAGA